TTTTTTTTTTTTTTTTTTTTTCTCTTTTTCTCTTTCCTTCTCCATTTCATTTTTATTATTTCTTGTTGGTTATTGTTAATTTTATATTTTCTTCGATATTTTGTTCTTCTCGTTTTTCGTGTTTTTAACGTTTAACATGGAACGTTGAAAATTTGAGAAAATTGAAGGCAGTCTCTCACTACGTCGCTATTACGGTGAACACACCCAATGAAAGTTAAAGATCTTAATTTAGAATTCGTACAAAGTTATGATTGTACGGTGCAACGCATATGTGTATTTATTATCATTTATTTCTATTTTCACCGTATTTTTTCTTTTCTTTTCTTTTATTTTGTCTTTCATGTTAGGCCAATCGATTGATGAGACTAACTATAGTAACACACGACGTTTAAGGATAATAAATAGAAGTGCTCGTTAGTTTCGATTTTTAGTGTTGAACAAAGTCTTAAAATGGAAGGAGAACAAGAGGTGGATTTAAGGAAAGATTGTTTAACACGTTCCGTGCCATGTGTACCACCGGTGGTACACGTTAAACTTGTTCTTCATGTCACGTGGTATCATTGGTGGTACACTTATCATTAGACATATTTATTTAATTCACTGAAAATATTTGTTTATAATAAAATGTAATTCTGTAGGAAAATATTCCTATTAAATTATTGTTGCATTATACAAAATGTAGTATAGAACAAAGCACATAAGTTTGTTTAATTGTTATATTTCTAATAATTAATAATTACATGTGATGGTTGATTTAATTTAATTTAATTTTTGATTTAAAGTAGAATTAACCATTTGCGCTATAAAGACGTGCCACGCAGGCGTCGAGATGCTTTTGTTTCAAAACTGCGAGCGACGTGTGCATCACGTCAATAGGCGTGGTGTAAATAGATTTATATTATTTTCATTATATCAACCAATATTGTAAAATGGAAAATAATAGTTAACTCATTGTCAGTGATATTGTTTCAAAAAAAGTGCAATATTGTAGCGCACACAAAAATCACAATCGTGAAGTTAAATCGTAGCGCATGTGGTTAAATGGCCTGAATGACAAGTCAGGTAAAAAGGGCTTGGCATGGAACGTGTTAAGAATGTGGTTAATTATTTTTTTTTTTTTTAAAGATCATCAAAGAAAACACAAATATCTATGTATTTTTATTACTTTTTTTGAATTTGTTTCTTTTTGGAATTGATAGGTCAACGTTACGAGAATAATTGGATTCAATTAATAATAGTGGGGCCCACAAAATCTTGAAATTGACAGAGAACAAGAGGATTTTTAGGAAAGATTGTTCAACGATGTGGTTAATTTTTTGTTCTTTAAAGATCATCGAAGAGAACAAAAATATATCTGTGTACTTTTAATGACTTTTTAGAATTTGTTTCCTTTTTCTTTCTTTTTGAAATTGCTAGGTCAACGTTACTAGAATAATTTGATTAAAATAATAGTGAGGCCCACAAAATAAACATGGTAAACTATATTATATGGTAAAAGCCGATTGTGACGAGCGTTATTCATAGATCATCGTAATCTTCCTTCGAACGTCTATAATCTAATTATTTCGATCAATTAATATTAACATGACTGATACGATGTCAATGAATCCATCATAATCCTCCATCGTTCAGTCGAGTATATTAATGGCATAATCTTGCTATTCCAGTTAATCAGAAATTACATTTCCATATTCGAGAATATTTTCTTAACAAATAGTAATTTCTTTCTTTTTATTATTATTATTATTATTATTATTATTATTATTATTATTATTTACAATCGACGCGTATAATAAGGGTTGTTGACGCGAGGCAAAGATTAAAACTTGTCAGAAATTTCAAGCAAGTTGCTTGAACAATTCTATCAAAGAATTGTCATTTATTTTCAATTATCTGTGGCATCAATTATTTTTTTCTTTTTTTCTTTTAATTTTATTTCAGAGACAAATAGAATAATCCCTGTTGGATAAATAATTTCCTGAGTTTTAGCAAAGAAATAAACGATGTGTCTCAATTTTCTAAATTATCTACGAGTTAAAGGGTGTCTCTTTGCTTTATTAAAAATTTTTTTTTTTTTATTTGTTGTTGTTGTTGTTGTTGTTATTGTTGTTGTTGTATTATTTTGGTACATACCCGTTGTCATAAAAAATTCAATGAATTTTCTAGCACGAGATCGATTCGTCGTTCCTGCGACGAAATCGAATCATTTACAAAAAGGAAGCTGCTGCGCTGCTACTGCTGCTGCGCTGCTACTGCTGCTGCTGCTGCAATTCGATTTTCTTAATTGTTATAATTAATACCTGATAAATGTTTAATTTAATTTCGTAATATTATGTTACGACGACGACGACAACGACGACGACGACGACGACGACGGCAAAGCGCGAATATCGTGCGCTTCTAAAAGACAATAATTGTTTTTTTTTTTTATATCATACAAACAATTGACAACAATAATTTTGGCTTCTTTATTTTCTCCTCTCTAGTATATATATATATATATATATATATTATATATATTTATATATATTTTTTTTCTTAATATTTTTATTCTTTTTTCTGTAATTCTTACGATAATTCTTGAATTTTTGATAATAATGAACATTTGTATTTACATGGCTGTCCTATGTGTCATAAGTGTGAAGCTAAATTTGTTCGATAAAATTCTAATTAAATAATGAATCATTTCACAGATTCATAGAATAATAAGATTCGAGAAGTTGAACTTTTTTGTTGTATATCATCGACAAACAAAATAATTAAACAAATATTTTTCTTCACATTAGTAATATAATTTGTTCGATCTTAATCTTATATTCAAAATGATTCTCTCAACGAACAGATTCTCTCTTGATTAGAAATCATTTTGTTTAAAAACTATTTCTCTTCGTTGTCGGCATTCGGTATGAGAACGATTGTCGAGTCGTGTGTGTTAGTGTGTGTCTTTTGTTTTATTCAACACTTTATCTTATATTTTATTATTTAAAAAAAAAAACAAAAAAATACTAACCCTTTGCACTCCTTTGTCGAGTGTGACTCGACATTGATTTTTACCTCAAAAGATATCACAACTTTGACAATTACAAATTATAATAATAATGAAAATAAAATGAACATTTTATTTCATTTATTTCTTCCTTTACAATAGATTTAAATTATCATATTTTTCAATTTAAAAAATAAATTATAATTAATAAAATATTACAAATCATTGGAATTTGTTGAATCAACAAAATTTGAAATATAATACCAAGTGCAAAGGGTTATATCCACGTACGAGAGTGAAGGGCTGGATTATTCGTAAGAGTACAACAAATTTCAAATGAATTTTGACAAAATCTTATCGTCGACGCGGCATTCGTTCTACCAACAACAATAACGATCCAAAATGTTTTTTTTTTTATATTTTTTTTTTTTTTATATTAGATCACAACAAGCACAGTAATCAATTATTACTGCCAAATGATTCCTGTTCAATCGTAAGTTATAACAGGAACAACATTAATATTTAACGTCGTCGATAAATAATAAACGCGACAACTTGAAATATATATTTTTCTTTTTGTTCAATACAAAATATATATTTCCCGTTGCTGAGATTTCTCCTACTTCGAGTTGGTGAAATCGACCAATCAAAAGTTTTCCTCCATTCTCCCCTTTGAATTGGGTGATTATTAAGACTATCGATTATGTCCTCATCTAATGGGTGAAACTTGAACAAGTACTTCGAAAACAATATCCCTAATATTGGGACTAGTTTGTTCAATCTAATTAGTGTACTAATTTTTCCATCAAATCGAATTAATCAAATATTTAACACTAGAACTACCACGTCAGTCATTTTAACTTGATTTGGTATCAAGAATATTTTGATACTTATTGTTATTGTATATAGTTTTTAAGATCTCAAAATATGAAGTTTCTTTTGTAAAATAATAATAAGTCAAGAAATATAAAAAATAATCTACTTTTAAATCTTATTTAAAGACCAGTCATTTTGATTGGTTTTGATAGAAATTTCAATTTTCAACTGTCGGTATTTCTAGTGTTAACTAATCTTATTTATTATCATTGATCTTTTGTTAATTTAACCCTTTGCACTCGAAGGTACATATATTTTTCATTTCACATATTACCAACAATTTACAAAGCAATTTTAATAGAAAAAAAAAAAAAAGAAAAATCATATTCACGTATTATAAATAAATGACATGTGTGCAGTTAAAAGAAAAGGTCATAGTTGATATGTTGTGTAGACTGAATTGAATTTGTTTCAGTTTTTATTTTTTTTTTTTTTATTGTCTCTTTAGCGGAGTCCTCGAGTGCAAAGAGTTAAATCTTATAGTTTAACCCCTTAAGGAACAATTAAAAAAAAAAAAAAATCTGGCCAAAAAGAACCAATTTTGGCTCAACGTGATACAACACCGCTCGAATTAACTCGAGCTTGCAACTTAAGGGGTTAATTTATTTGTTATTCAATTTATTTATAGTTAAAAAAAAAAAAAAAAAAAAAGAAATAAACTTGAGGATAACATTTGAATTGGTCGAATTCTCTTTACGAAGGAAGGAAGTCCTACGGCCGTTGAAAATTATATTACACCTTCCCATCATACGTATCCTTGAACGTATCTTCTTCTTCTTCGATCAAATATCCACTAAGTAAATGTGGCATATTGGTTTGTTGCAAAACCTTCCAAAAGTTAAATAGGATACATCCTTCATCTTGGTAATCGTTGCCCTTAGGGAGGCACCGTTGCATTAACTGGCACGAAGGTGTCCCTGTTCAGAGAGTTCAGCAGCTCTTCGTTCTCTTTGCGAACTGGAACAATACAAATGTTTACAACCGCCAAAATGAATTCCAAGTTAAAAGACATCTCGAGAGATCTTACTTTTTTCTTTTTTTTTTTTTTGTTTAAACTACAAAACTCGAGTTGTACAAGAAAAAAGTATAAAAGAGAAAATTTACAAGCACAAATTTGTAAATATACTCTTCTCTCGTG